CCCTGAAGTCATAAACTAGCCAGATGTTTATTAAATCAGCATCTTGTATAAAATCAACTATAGTTGATAGTTCCGTATAAACCAGAGTGTCATGAAATACATTAAAAGATAGTCAGAACTTCACTTAAACTTTGTGGTTCCTCCCTCTTGACTTATTTTTTTAAACCATACTTTGTAGATGCTCCTGACTATATCACTTGAAGTGTGTTGAGCTAATCATGGTACATTTATCCATGGGTAAACAACATGTCTCGGAGACACAACCACAAGATTTCAGTGCCCTCCTGGATAGCTACAATTTATCCCTAATGTCTGTCGGTGCCTTTGAGTCACTGTTGGTTTTTGGCAATGGCATGCACAAGTTCCTGCAATCTTCTTGGCAAAATTTTAGAAGTGGTTTGCCATTGCTTCCCTCCTAGGGCTGAGAACTGGACCTAGCTAGTTTTATGCCTAAGCTGAGTCTAGAATTCACAGCCTCCTGGTTTCCAATCTGTTGTCTTAACCACTATGCCAGAGTGGCTGGAATCTAATGTTACGTGAGTTTAAGGAGGTGTCTTCATATTTTATAAATTAGGACTAGGAGTGAGTTAGATAGATGGGCTTCTCCAATTCGTATCTTATATCTCCTCCAGAAAATTCTCAGGTTGGAGGGGGCCTCAAAAGTTACTTTGCTGAAACCTCTGTTTAATGTGAGGCAACCCAGATAAGATAATATTTGCTTCAATAAAACCAGTGATAGATATAGATAGATAGATACTTTATTTGTATGCCGCCCTTTTCCCTGGGGGGACTCAGGGCGGCTCACAGTTCAGGGGGAGGGGAGGACAAACCAAGNAGAAGAGGGAGTCAAGCTATTCTCCAAAGCAACTGAGGGCAGAACAAGAAGCAATGGTTGAAAACTCATCAAGGAGAGAAGCAACTTAGAACCGAGCAGAAATTTCCTGACAGTTAGAACAATTAACCAGTGGAACAGCTTGCCTCCAGAAGTTGTAGGTGCTTCATCACTGATTAACAGATTGACAGAGTTGGAAGGGACCTTGTAGGTCTTCTAGTCCAACCCTCTGCCCAAGCAGGGGATCCTACACCATTTCTGACAAATGGCAGTCCGGTCTCCTCTTGAAAGCTTCCAGGGATGAAGCTCCCACAACTTCTGAAGGCAACTTCTGTTCCACTGAGAGTCTATGCCATGTCAAACAAGTCCAGTCAAAGACTGGACTTGTTTGACATGGCATAGACTCTCCAGCTTGAGCAGACGTTTGGACTAGAAGGCCTCCAAGGTCCCTTCCAGCTCTGATTGATCGATGGTTAAGAGGACCTGAGGTTGGTGACTTTGACTTTGCTACATCACAGTGCCCTTCTGAAGTGGGCACGCTTACCTTCTTGCCACCCGTAGGGCCAACACAAACTAAACAGACTCCATTCCCACCACCCACCTAACCGCCTGGATTCATCAAGTCCAATTTGGTGGATTCCGAAGGGGGAGGAGAATTCAGCCTTTAGGGCCAAATCCGAGCATTAACAGGCAGTGCACGCCAGGGTGTTTGGGAAGGAAGGGAACGAGTCACTCAAGGTCGTGTGACTGTACAAGAGAGATTTCCTGAGAGGGTGCCTTGAAAATGCCTCTCCCAGCTGGTTTTGGAGGGGTTCATGGCTGAGAATCTGATGAGAAGATTAAAGAGTGAACGGTTTCCAGGGAGGGGCATTTCTTTCAGAGGCCATTTCTATTTGCAGAAAGTATCATCCTGGAGATCGGAATGCAAAGGAGGCGATTTCCCCCATNTATATATAATGCAATAGAACATTGACCTGCCTTTTATTTGCTTTTGTGGGTGATTCCAGAAATATGTTGTCCCTAGCTTTAAAAGACTAATTCATGGAGTTTGAGATAAATGAACATTAGTTTGGAAAGGATTGTTTACTTTAAGACACCATTTGCTTAGAAATCTGCCTCTTTGCTTAAAGGTTTTGAAGGCTGGCCTTTGTGGAGAAAATGCTAGGAGATTACTAGTAGGCTACACCAAGGTCCTCCTTGCTTCCTTCTCCATTGAACCCACAGTCTGTGGGAACTTATGGCCAAGTTGCTAATGACTTCAGTTTCTAGGGTCATGGAATCCCAATATAGACCCTAGCTACAGATCGCAGGGGCTCAAATAAGTATTAACAAGGCCAGACCAGAGAAGGAAGTGAAACGTCTCCTTATCTATTCACAAATAATAAATTATATACTGGGGAATGTCCATCCTGGATGGATGAGATTCACAATAACCTAAGGGCAATATCGGATTGGTGCAATATCACAGGCTATTGTTAGGCCAGCAAAATTTTAAGTAGGAAAACTGTTCCCGAATTATATTTTCTCAGGTTGTGATCAGAATCAGTTTGATATCATTGCATCCAGGCACTGAGATAGAAAATAGGAGGTTATGAATTCTAGTCTTGCCTTAGTTACAAAACCAGCATGGTTACCCTAGGCCAGTCACTTTCGTGCAGCCCTAGGAAAGACAGAATAGCAAACCACTTTAAAAATCCTTGCCAATAGAACTGAACAGTCTTGTCCAAGAATCAGACAAGAACAGTTTTGGAAGTGTGGGTAGGGATTTCTCTGTGTGTCTGTGTGTGTGTGTGTCTGTGTGTGTGTGTGTGTGTCTGTGTGTGTGTCTGTGTGTGTGTGTTTGCATCCTGAAGTTGAGAGAAACTTCATTCAGGTACAAAACTTGAGAATTTAACCTTAATTTTGTGCATACAAATAACTTGTGCTTATCTAGATCCATATGCTTTCGTATTTTGAAGTAGTAGAGTCCAGCTTTTTCAATCTCCAAATTTGGCCAATTTTTTTCCTCTTCAGTTTTTTTTAATAAAGCAAAATAGATGCTTCCAGCTGCTGCAGGATCTAAGAAGATAACCTTATGTCTTCTTCCATTCCATTCCTGGATAGAAATCACTCAAGAATGAGGCATGTGAAGCTAAATCTGAAAAAATCTAAATTCTTAGAGAGTAAGTCACAGAAGTGGCTTTATTTCTCATGCTAAGAAGGTTTTATCTTACCAACTTGTATCTTTTCACAGAAAGTTAAGTCGGTCTATATTTGTTAATTACATTGAGTGAAATAGAATTTATTTGTTTATTATTAGCCTTCCATGTTGCCCCATTTCCGAAGATCCAAGTCTATTTAATTAATCAATTTTGGGAGTTTGTACCATTCAACCATCAAATGAATCCTGTCTGGTTTAGCAAAATAGCTTACCTCTCCTCCCATTCAAGCTAAAACTAATCAAGTCACGCATGCTTGTGAATACAATTACTGAACCATGATCCTGAAAGGTGTTTGGCAAACCCAATCAAGGCCAACAATCTTTCATTCATCTGAGAAGGAAATTGGTTCAGTATATGTTCTTCCATTCGATAGTCATTTTCCACCAAGGAAGTAATACTTCCAATTCTAGCAAGGGAAAGACTTGACTCCAAATGGTTCTTGAATAAGCCCACCAAAATTAAGGAGACAAACATGTTAGCTGTAGGAAACTTAAAACCCCAGCCTAGCTATCAATAGTCCTGCTCTAATTCTGTCAGGATCCAATCAACTTATCTCTCCTAAAATATTCAATATATTATTTAATTGTAATTGTCTGCTCAACTCCAATGGGCTCTGGGCAATATACAAAACTATTATTAAATATTTTCTAGTCCATCTAGAGGTTCTGCTGCTGACACAGGACACATAATGATCTTGGATTGTCTTCTGGCCCCTTCTCAGCTAAGCTGGACAGATGATTTGATAACTGGTAACGTTGGAGTTCTATCAAATTGACTTTAGAATGCAGGTTGGCCAGAGATGTTTATGGGCTGCTGAATCCAGTTTTGGACTGGAAGGAGTCTGGAACAGCACTTGGAGAGAGTCATTCCTGGCACTGTGTCTCCCTTTGCTCCCTTCTTTCTGCCCACCTAGCAAGGTTCAACTTTGAGTCTTAGGATGAAGATCCATTCCAAGACAATAGATGTGGTAGCAGGTCAAGACTGAGGAACATGATGGAAGCCTGTCTTTCAGATCTGGCTTCCCTTGTGTGGACACAGAAGCAGAGCTTGTTCAACAACCTCCATCCTCTCAGCTTGGTGGCCGGGCGGGAGGAGAGCGGGCTTTGTAGAACAGATATCAGAAGGTCTCCATGGGGGGTGGGAATGGTTACCTCAGTTTCTTCCAGAGTTTGTCAACCTCATCCCTGGTGAGAGATGCACTTTCCCTCTTGCTCATCTGCCACCTACCCACTTTTGGCACCCATCCTTAGTAATAGGGCAAAACGCATAGGGAGTTCTACTCAAACTCTCACAAGTAAGCAAAGTATCTAAACCTGTGTTTTTTTCCAACTTGGCAGCTTTAAGACCTTCGGGACTTTGGATCCCAGAATTCCCCAGTTACTTCACACCTCTTAAAAGGTGCCAAGTTTGGGGGAGGGGGGAGGTGCTCTGAAATACAGCTATTCTAGACTTCTGGCTCTGCGGCAACTAACCTGCCTTAGGATGCTCAGACGTGGCCTCTCAGTGTTGTCTGCTTACAGGTGGGGGGCATCCCCTGTGGGTAGCTTAAGAACCCTTTAAACAAAGGGGAAATGAATTGTTCAATTAGCCTTACACGGATCCCGCAAGAGAAAGTCAAGGTTACCAGATCTGGACTGCAAAGCTCTTGAGATGACCCATCTGGTTGCCATCCGGAGCTGCGAGCCCACCACAAGTCTTCTGTCCCCCACTTTGGGTCCACTCGAGTATCTCAGCGGGGAGGGAAACCAGGGTCACAAGATGCTGTTTCCCCCTGCCGGGGTCGCTTGGCCACGGGGGACCTGCGGGCGGACGGAAGCACCGCAGGTCTGGCTCCCGCTGTGGGACTTCGCTTCCCCTGCCCAGCCAGCCCGGCCGTGACAATCCCCCCCCCATCCCCACCCCACTGCGCCGCCAGCTGTTCTGACTGCCTCCGCCACGCTCGCCTCTCTTCTGCTTGCTCCCGGCAGCGATGCAAGGACAAGCTGAACGCGCTGGCCATCTCCGTCATGAACCAGTGGCCGGGCGTCAAGCTGCGCGTCACGGAGGGCTGGGACGAGGACGGCCACCACTCCGAGGAGTCGCTGCACTACGAGGGCCGCGCAGTGGACATCACCACCTCGGATCGGGACCGCAGCAAGTACGGCATGCTGGCTCGCCTGGCCGTCGAGGCCGGCTTCGACTGGGTCTACTACGAGTCCAAGGCGCACATCCACTGCTCCGTCAAGGCCGGTAAGCAGCGCGAGAGAGTGGGGGGCATCCTCCCAGGCGTGGCGGGTCTGCTTACCTTTGCCATGGTGCGGGGAACCCGAGGATCGGTTAAAAACAAACAAGACGATGGCGGACACCCCTGCGGGAGGGAGAAACTGGGATCATTCTTAAAAGCACTCGATTTTTTCAGATGGGCCAAGTAGTAAAGCAGCAGTAACACCTACTGTGAAAGGACAGGGCATTCCTGTTTATCCTGAAGGGATCTGGGGATGGGGCTTGCCAGAGATTTGATACCGCTATTTGGGAGCAGGAAAATGCTTTGGCTGAATTTCCCATTTATTTAGCCTCCATAAGGTGTTAGTTGTGAGATAAGAAAGGCGTCTGCTGTGTTTCACCAATGCGAGTATATACACACATAGTCACACACACACACAGGGGTGAATATGATGGATTTGATGGGCAAGGTTCAGTGCATCTTCCTCCGTAGATGTTTCCTGGGCGGCTTTGGCCAAATGCGTCTCTCTCTCTCTCCCTCTCCCTCTCTCCCTCCCTCCCCTCCCTCCATCTCTCTCTCTTTCTCTCTCTCCCTCCCTCCTTCCCTCCTTCCCTCCCTCCCCTCCCTCCATCTCTCTCTCTTTCTCTCTCTCCCTCCCTCCTTCCCTCCTTCCCTCCCTCCCCTCCCTCCATCTCTCTCTCTTTCTCTCTCTCCCTCCCTCCTTCCCTCCTTCCCTCCCTCCCCTCCCTCCATCTCTCTCCCCCCTCTCTCTCCCCAATCTACCTCACCTAATTGTTGTGGGGAAAAGAATGGAATATGTATTCTGTATGCCAGTTTGAGCTCTTCTATGAAAAATGGGATGTGAATCACATCCAGAACCTGGCAATTGGAAGATGAGAGGACTTCAATTCCCAGAATTATTAAGAGTCCACCCGTCTTCCATTTGCCAAGTTAAATAAACGAACCTTTTCTTTAGTTACTCTTTGACGTCCTATCAGCCATAAACTGTTATCCAGAGATCTCCAATTAGTCAAGAAGGACCAGAAAACGGAAAGGAGGGTGGGGGAAATGTCAGGGGCCTTTTCCAAGTGCCTGGAGGCCTGCAGGCCTTAAGAGACAGGGAAACTGCGTCTAAGAGGGCTATGGAAAATGTAGGAGGACGAAATTGTCTTGAGGAAGGCTAGAGATATTAAAGCATTTGATCTTCTAACCCTTTCGCCCAATTAGGGCGCCCTCAAATGAAGGGGCTTTTGAGGCATTCTGGTCCCCACCATCCCTCTAAGAGCAATAGCCCCGCCCACTCTCTTCTCTAGTACCTAAGAACGTGGGAAACAGCCTCACGTATCCGGTGCAGGGAGGTTCCGCGCGCAGTGCTCTGTTCCCAACTAAGGTTGGTCAGCATCTTCTCTCCACCCCCAACCTCCAGCCCCGCGAGTGGGATGCTTCAATTATTTCTGCCGGGGCATCCTAGATTGCAATTATTGCAATTATAAGCTTCTGTTGCAATTGCCTCGGCGCGTCTTCACAGCTGGGTAGGTACGAAGGAAGCTGCTGGCTGCGACCTTTTGAGCTCCGAGCGGGTCTTGTGCGCACAACCTAACTTAAGATCCCTGGCAAGACGGGGGCTCAGAGGTAAAGCCCACTGAGGAGTGGAACGGGTTTCTCAACGCAGCACCGAGCATTCCCCCCCCGCCCACGCCGTTTCCACGCTAATTCACCTCTTCGGAGGGGAGCTGAGACCCCCTGAACTCAAAGCAGGTCTTCCTGTACCCTTAACCAACCAGCCACAACTCAGTTTGTCAATGCCAATTCATCCCAAGCATCCCGGGTGAGCTGTTCCACCGCCCTCCCGAATCCCCCCCCACCGCAATTCAAGAGAGATCCCAGAAGCCCTCGTTCCGGTTCCTTTTAGAAATCTTAGGGCGCCCCGTTTTCTTCCTTCCAACCGAATGAGAGAAGGGGAGGGAGGGGGGAGAGAGAGGGAGGGAGGGCGGGAGGGAAAGAGAGAGAGAGAGAGAGAGAGAG